TGAACTGTCGGGCTTCTCGTTGCGTCACACCTCAACCCGCCTCAAAGCCAACGCTGATTGGACGTTCGTTTGGTGAATGGCTCCAAATTTTCTTCAACGGAGAGTCTCCAGACTGATTAGCGAGTGAAATCTTCAAAGCTCGCGAGATCAGGATGGTCTAATGAAGCTAAGTTTTCCCGCCACTTTGGTTCAAATTAGCATTTTCCCCATTTTCTAGCCTTTTCTCCACCTAAAGCTACTTTTCCGAAGCATTTTAATGCCACGATTATCAAATTTAATTAATTTTAATGCCAATTAAGGCCTTAATTTAAAAAATAATAATTTAATGACTTTTCATGATTTTTAATGACCCACAGAAACCCTGATTTAACAAGGAAGGGATTATTTCTCCTTCAATCGCAAACTGATGGAGAAAGCAACAGTTTGAAGAAAAGAAAAAAAGTTCAAGATAAACAAAATAAAGTTTAAAACGACTGAATATCACTTAGTTCATTGTAAGACAATGCATCACCACACAGGCTTGATTTGTCTTAAAGCTATGACTTAAAAGAAAATATTGGAAGTCATTAACATGAAATTTAAAGACCTAATTTTTCTTTTTTAATCATGATCAAGGCATATTTCACAAAGATGTATACATTGATTTCTTAACTTATGCTGTGTGCTGGTGAAGATTCTCAGTCATCCAGGTCATATTCATTCCAAAAAAGTAAAAAAAAAAAAATACAATCCACTGGAATTTGTTTCCAAGTTTGGAGACGTTTCGCTACCCATCCAGGAAGGTTTTTCTATTAAAAATGTCAGAATAAGCGTCGACTTGGAGGCTTTATAGAGTGGCCAAAAAACTTGTTTTGAATTAGAAAACATGCAAATTGAACAAGAAGAATGGGTCCACCCCTTAGGAATGGGGAGTCCTTTGGAAACTTTGCAAGCCTACAATACTCGATACTGGTCTAAGCCTCTGTAAGAGGGTCGTTAGGAACAATTGTTGGCCTGGCTGCCCAGGCGAGATGTTTTGTCCTCTGCTGTAAAAATAACATTTAGATTGAAGTGATGTATATTATATGAGATGGTTGTCACAAGTTAAGAGTGGCATCAACATATTTTAAATCAAAGGACTATCTTTTATTCATATTCTGAAGACACAAAATCTTATTTTAATAAAAGGTTTTGCAATATATCACCTTGATTTAACACGTCCTTTTTGTCCCAACTTCTTCCATACTTATACATTACAACCATGCTGAATGCATTTCTTTAATGATAAAAGGAATACCAGTACTTTTCCAATTGTAGGCATACATGAACTGCTCAAATGTCAAGTATGATTTGCAGTATTTATTTAATTTGGACACTGTTCCATATCTGAAGTATGACTCCGGATGATTCTGAGCAGCCTCCTGCTGAGGAACACCAATTGTACTCTTATAGCTAACCTTCCTTGCAGTAGATTATTAAACAATATTTGAACAACTTTGTCGTCCAAAAGGCTCCTTTTTCGAACTCTATGAAAAATCAGGTAACAAAAAAAAACTAATAATATAAAATAAAGAAGTAGCAAATAGACAAATCCTTATTTGATTCTTAACCGGTTCGTATTTATCAAAATAGCTTAAGAAGTTAAGAGTAAAAGTGCACTCCTTTGGTAACTGCAGTTAATGACAGAAGGAAAAACAGGAGGCTTATCCACAACAAAACATTTTATATAAAACATTTTTATATGGACATTCAATAACAAAAAACAAAAAAACAAAGGCGTTCAAAGGGATACAGATGGGACAAAGGGACGGTTCATTGAGAAACCATAGCAACTATGAAGAAGAACCACATAGTGTTCTATAATACAGGGCCAAGGAAGCCATGACAGAAAAATGAAGCTGCAAAATCCACCCTTTTTCAGCAGCCATTTTGTTTGTCAGGCGGCGTTTTTTTTTTGTTTTTTTTGCCAACAGCTCTGTGCTATTTCATTGTCAGCTAGATTCCAACCGCTAGCTGCCCGTTAGGAAGTTTAGTGGTGATGAAGGGTGCTGCAGCGATTAGCTGCAGGAGTCAAATATGAAAACTCACAAGGTTCATGCAAAACTTTTTTTTTCTTTTTTACATTTTTTTTTTTTTTACATGACAGCTATCACTCATGCTGGTTTGTCCATGCCATTGTTGGCTCCAAAAGACAATCTTCATGTTTTTTTTGTTTTTGTTTTTTTCCAGCACTTTTCAAATTGGGAACCAGAACATGCTGGGAACTTAACATTTTTGGCTGCTGCCTTTTTTCATGATCAAGTCCATATTTTAAAATATTAACAGAAATGGTTAATGGAAAAAACAAACAAAAAACATTTCAATATGCAAAATTTTTTCAAAAGTCAAAAATGTGGGAGGAAAATAAAATTAAAGAACAAAGCAAAGGAAAGCAGGAAATAAACTGTCCTATTTCACACAACGTAGATAAAATCTACCTGTGTGAGCATGAGAAACAACACCTTCGTACTTTTGATATGACCATACACTGAAATGATGAGGAGTCTTCATTAAACGCAAAAAAAAAAAATAATAAAATGATAATGATGTAAAAGACAAAAAGAAACAGCTGATTTAATGAAAGTGCCACAGACCTATTCTCATTCATTCTAATGGCTCACGGAAACTATAAAAACAAGCACTTTTAGTATTTTGTGAAACATTTCATGTCAAGATAACATTTCCTATGACCGATTCAAAAAAAGAAGGCAAATAATAAAAAAACACTTTGGTGACGTTACCTGCAGACCTTCAAACTACAAACTATCAATGTATGCTCGCAGCTCAGGTAGTTTCATCTGAGCCAAAAATAAAGGTTGAAATTTGCACCTCACGTGAGAACAAACAACAATATATATATATATATATATATATATATATATATATATATATATATATACACTCACCGGCCACTTTATTAGGTACCCCATGCTAGTAACGGGTTGGACCCCCTTTTGCCTTCAGAACTGCCTCAATTCTTCGTGACATAGATTCAACAAGGTGCTGGAAGCATTCCTCAGGGAGTTTGGTCCATATTGACATGATGGCATCACACAGTTGCCGCAGATTTGTCGGCTGCACATCCATGATGCGAATCTCCCGTTCCACCACATCCCAAAGATGCTCTATTGGATTGAGATCTGGTGACTGTGGAGGCCATTTGAGTACAGTGAACTCATTGTCATGTTCAAGAAACCAGTCTGAGATGATTCCAGCTTTATGACATGGCGCATTATCCTGCTGAAAGTAGCCAACAGAAGTTGGGTACATTGTGGTCATAAAGGGATGGACATGGTCAGCAACAATACTCAGGTAGGCTGTGGCGTTGCAACGATGCTCAATTGGTACCAAGGGGCCCAAAGAGTGCCAAGAAAATATTCCCCACACCATGACACCCCCACCACCAGCCTGAACCGTTGATACAAGGCAGGATGGATCCATGCTTTCATGTTGTAGACGCCAAATTCTGACCCTACCATCCGAATGTCGCAGCAGAAATCGAGACTCATCAGACCAGGCAACGTTTTTCCAATCTTCTAATGTCCAATTTCGATGAGCTTTGTGCAAATTGTAGCCTCAGTTTCCTGTTCTTAGCTGTAAGGAGTGGCACCCGGTGTGGTCTTCTGCTGCTGTAGCCCATCTGCCTCAAAGTTCAACGTACTGTACGTTCAGAGATGCTCTTCTGCCCACCTTGGTTGTAACGGGTGGTTATTTGAGTCACTGTTGCCCTTCTATCAGCTCGAACCAGTCTGGCCATTCTCCTCTGACCTCTGGCATCAACAAGGCATTTCCGCCCACAGAACTGCCGCTCACTGGATGTTTTTTCTTTTTCGGACCATTCTCTGTAAACCCTAGAGATGGTTGTGCGTGAAAATCCCAGTAGATCAGCAGTTTCTGAAATACTCAGACCAGCCCTTCTGGCACCAACAATCATGCCACGTTCAAAGTCACTCAAATCACCTTTCTTCCCCATACTGATGCTCGGTTTGAACTGCAGGAGATTGTCTTGACCATGTCTACATGCCTAAATGCACTGAGTTGCCGCCATGTGATTGGCTGCTTAGAAATTAAGTGTTAACGAGCAGTTGGACAGGTGTACCTAATAAAGTGGCCGGTGAGTGTATATATATATATATATATATATATATATATATATATATATATATATATATATATATATATATATATAAATTCAAACAATAAAAATATAACGTAAATAAAGATGGCTATAAGAGCATGTTAATAACAGGTAATATATTTATATATATATTTATACGGCAGAAAAATGTGCTTTCTACAAATCTTTGGAACAAAACAAAAAAAGAAAGCCAAAAGAAAAGCAAGATTTTGGAAATATAGGATACAATATTATAGAAATATGCACATTTATGTGTTTTGCATTTAAATATATACTATAAACTTACTGACAGAATCTCTGTGTTGCTCAGTAATTGCTGTTGGCAGCATCTTAAACGCGATCACCAACTAACGTAATGTTACAGGAAGACTCATCCATTGCTGGACTCTAGAAAAGATGAAATATGAGGGGAAAGTCTAATTCAAAGAGCTTGACAACCAAATAAACCACCAGATACCTGAACAACCCCTCAGGCTGCAAGCAGATGATCTCCAGCTGGATATAAATGTGATAACATGTTTACAGTGTAGTGTTGTACTTACTGTAGTGTTTTGTGATGGCAGCACATGGACTGTGTAGTGAAATTCTGTGCATGACCGAGCAGATATGAGATATAGTTGGTATATTACTGAAGAGTGGAGTGTTCGTAATATAGATGCATTTTTTTTCCCTCTATATTAACCCCGAGTTTTACTGATGAACCTCCACACATAGGTGGAGCCGTTTCAAACAAAATAATGCTTTTATATTCAGAAGAATGAGAATAATTACAACAGTAACAATAATAATAATAATAATTTGGTAAATTTTTTTTCTCTAAGCTAATTTCTTTGCATATCATATATTTTTTTTTAAGTTTAAAGGTTTACCATTTCCACATACAAAGAGAATCTTGAGGTAAGGAACAGCTTCGATAAACCCTCCCCTCGTTCAGCTTTCCATCATTTCTCCAAGATGCCGGGCATGATGGGAACTCGTCCCTTCGCCATCTGACCATGTTGAGGACGGACTCTTAAATCCACCGCTGGGTGCTTTCATCAATCTGGTTCAAACATATCTTTCTCTGGTGCTCTCTTGGAAGGCACCTTACTCCTCTCAACACCGTCTGCTTCCCTCTCACTTTCCTCAGAGTGTGTGCAGGCCAGCCGGCGCGCTGGCTCCTTCTAAGGCAGCTGCTCCAATGTCTTATTATCCACATACAGCCTTTGGAAGAACGCTTAGGCTCTGCCCCTTAATTTTGTGCTGCTGAGTGCCGAGGGAATAACAGGGGGAGAATATAATAAAGCCGTGCAATAGAGAGGGTGGCCATTTTACAGTCTGGTTTTTTTTTTTTTTTTTTCTTTTTGATTGTAAAGGCGACCCTTAGTCTTTAATACAGCATTCCTCTATTTTTGTAGAAGCTTAGATAAGAAAAGTGGGACTGCTCTGGGGCGGGATCTGAAATATCTTAGCTGTGGTCAAATCCACACTTTAAAAACAGGGCGCAGTCCACCTCCAGGACAACAGAGGGAGCTCTTTCGGAATAATTCAATGGGATAGGGGATGTCCTGGGACATGAAGTGTCTTTTAATAAGGGGCAAATCTACTGTATCCTCCCCTGTAGAGCGTGGCCTGTAAAACAAGAAGGAAAACATGGAGATTATTTGGGTTTTTCAGGAGGTGCATCCTCACAAAACTTACAGTAAACAAGAAACTAATTATTTTCAAACCAATCTTTTATGCAAAACCATCAGGGGATTTATTTTCACAACAATTGTTATTTTACATGAAGCAACCCATTAAATGAATATATATATATATATATATATATATATATATATATATATATATATATATATATATACACACATACACGTACATTTTCCGACACGCTTATCCCTACTGGGGTCACAGGTGTGTGTGTGTCTATGTACAGTACAGACCAAAAGTTTGGACACAACTTCAAAGAGTTTTCTTTATTTTCATGACTGAAAATTTCAGATTCACACTGAAGACATCAAAACTATGACTTAACTTTTGGAATTACGGTATATATTTATCGTCTTATATTCTAGGTTCTTCAAAGTAACCACCTTTTGCTTTGATTACTTCTTCACACTATGTTGGCATTCTACTTTTTTTGTTCCTCAAAGAAGAGAAGTAACTTTTAAAGCACCGTGGACACAGATTCTGGGCTTCAAGGAAAGGAGCTTCAAATTACGAATCCCGGAAGAATGTATTTGCAGAGTTAGAACAGATGATTTCCTTTAGATTGGGTTCTGATTAGTGCTAAATAATCGTCAACTAATAGAATAATCATGAACTGGAGTACAGAGACTCCAAAATATGCTTTTAGCTGTCAGAGCGACCCACTTAGAGCTGCAATTACATCCAAATTGTAATAAAATATATATAAACAATTTGCATTTAAGATAAAAAAAAAACATTTTAGCTTGTCAATACACTCTATCCAGAACTCCTCAAGTGGAAACGTTTTGATTTCACTGGTTTAATTTAATAAAAAACCCTTCTTTAAGGAACCTTTGGCTATTAATCGATTAATCAAAAAAATAATCGACAGATTAACTGATTTGCAAAATAATGGTTAGTTGCAGCCCTAGTTAGGATATCTACAGTTACGCCTACAATTATTCATAAACCTGACCGATTTAGAGGTTAACTGAGTTTCAGTCAAACATTAAGTTTAATCCTCACAGCAAACGAGAAACCTCTTTATGAAGATTGTAAAATACAAATGGAGTTACCAACTTTCAAAAAATTTAAAATTACCGTGTAATAAAAACTGATGTCTCAAAAATGAATGAAACCTGTCGTGTTAATGTCAAATGCTAATTTAGCATTATATCAATCCAACCCTCCTCATAAGTGCAGCACAGCTTTTTTCATGCTCCACTAATTGATTGTGGTGTTGAGAGTTTGGAAAGACACCTTTCCATCAACCAAATTAAGCTCTTTCATGTGTATACTCTGAAAAAAAATACTACCTCCAGTAAACATACAAAAGAACCATGCCACTTAAAAACTGAAGGTTGTACATTTTTATAAATTTTGACCAAAGTATTTTCATTTAAATATGACATCAAAGCAAGATATAAAGCTCTTTCTCTAACCTCAGTAAGCTAACATTCAGAAATACCTTTATTCTGCCAAAGAGAGTTGAAAACCTACCATAGCTCCAACACCATATGCTGCTGGGGCCAGTGCAGCGTGGTAGGGATCTGCTGTGTAAACTCGTCCATAGCTAAGAGAAACATCACATTTTAGGGATAAATAAAACGTTATTATAACAGACTGAATATTTCTAATTTGTTTTTCAATTGGAAAGCAATTATGAAAATACAAGAACAGTTTATTTTTATTTTTTTATCTTGTTTCATAAAATTTTAAAAACCGGAGAACGTCTCTTTTTTTAAGTCAACACACCCATACTACTTTAAATATGAAGAAATACTGATAACGAGCGTGTGAATACATTTTTCCAAACTTTCTTTGGACCCTGAATTAACAATAGTTTATGAGGCACAAACAGTAAATTAAAGACACAAGAATCATAAAGGGGCTCCAGGTAAGAACATTCATCAGCAGTTTGGAAAAATGTTTATATTTTAAAAGTTTAGAAATCACAGCAGTACTTGCTACAGTGGCAGGTAATAAATAAGTGGCCTATACATAAAATGTTTTCATTCTGCCTATTTTCAACTGTGAATAAACACAAAAATATATGTTATTTCCTGTGATGTAAATACAACAATGTATAAAACTAGATTTATGAGAATGGCTGCCCCAAAAAACTGAAAAAATGACCTTTACTACCAAATGTGATGGATAATCTGGGCCTCAGCATTTTTCTCTCCCTGTTGGATTATTTCTTCATGCAGCTGTAGCCGTCTTTCAGGTGTAGAAGGTCATTTCGGCAAATTTTTTTTAAGGAAAATGATGTTTGATTAAACATATTAGCTTTTAAATCTATTGTTGACTGTAATATTTAACTGATTTGATAGAGATTTTGGGGGCAGGATTTGGGATTGAAGAGTAAATCTTGCATCTGAACAGCTGTTTTTTTTATTAAGTAAAGCCAGCAGTATTTTGCACGCTGAGGTATTTTTAAAGAACCCAAAACAACAATAAATGTCATGTATTCTCTCTTTGTTTTGTTTTTTTAATATATATTCAGTTTAGTGCGCACACAAACGAAATCTGTTTTAAGTCTTTCTATATTATTTCTATATTACGAAACAAAATTTGATTAAAAAAAATCTTGATTTTATTTGTTTCCGATTGAAAAAAAAATGAGCAAAAGGATACACAGATAAAATAATTCTGAGTTTTTGTTTGGTATGTTAATATTTGTGGATTCAACCTGCTTTTTTTTTGTTTAGTTTTTTTTACTAGAATGTAACTTAGTTTTAGTTTAATATTCAACAACTAAAGCAAACTATATTTATTACTGTAAATGGTGACTAAATTGTCAAACCATGGATAGAAAGTCCTACTTTTTCCTTTTTTTCATAGCAAATAAAATCAAGACAACATTTTTGTTTACAAAGTTTAAAGTTGTAAAACAGATTAGTCTAGAAAATCAATCAGACGAGTGAGCAGATTTTCATTGTCCCGTCTCAGAGGCCCAAACGTCCCCACTCGCCCCTAGATCCCTCAATCACTATATAGAGCGGAGACTATATAGTAAACTCATTTAATTGAAGGTTTGGAAAGATGATCACTACTTTTTGTTCCCCGTTAGTCACGTAACTCCACCTCCCCGCACGGTGCCTGCGCCATCTTTGTTATTTATCGCCGCTGTCGGGTAGCAACAGCAGGCTGCTGTCACAACAAATCCCATAATGCTTTGTGAGGAGAGGTTAGCAAAGCATTCTAAGATATATCTGCTTGTCTAGACCATTGATCATCACTACTTTTCAAGTTGCACTGTGGGAAATTTCGAGTCCACTACTTTTTCATCCATTAGACGATCGGACGCTCATTTGAAATGACTTAACTACTATGCAGTGCCCTATATAGGGATTAAGGGCGTACGTTCGGACACAGCCATGTTCTCTTGGCCTTGTTTGAGCTTTCAATGTTTATATGAAAGAACTTCTGGTTAAAGAAGTCAATCTGAACTAGCGCCTCACCTGTCACTGTAGGCTGCTGCTGCAGCGGCTGCTGCTGCAGGGGTCGCTACGGCTGTAGGCTGGGCGTAACGATACGCTGCATAGCCGCCCTGTGGGAAGGTGATGAAGAGGAGGGAAAGTGGGTGAAAGTGAGTGAGAAGAAGATAGAGGGACAATGTAGGGACAGGTGGGAGGAACAGGAGGAAAAGTGAAACATTTGTTCAATGCTCGCTATGTTGTCTTATTTTTCTGCAGTGCAGACGTCTAGTAGTGAATCTAAAGGGTTACATTGTGAGAGAAAACTGCTGAGAAGAGCGAAATATTAACAAGCAGACAGTCAGCAGAACTGGCTAATCTGGTGCAGTACAGCATTCACAAGGATGTAGCTCTGGCTCGGAGTTTCTCTCTCACTCCGTGACCAACTCAGCAGAAATAGCTGTAATTGTGTGTGACGATTTTCTTTTTTTTTGGGGGCCCGTTTGCCGTCTTCAACATGCGTCATTTTCCCCGCTGTGTTAAGCAGAGAGGGAGAGAGACCTTAAAGCCATAAATGTGCCCAACCGCCATTCCCTTTCACAAACACACGGTCAGAGAAAGGGAAAGGAGAGGCGAGGTGACTGTGCCATTATTTATGTTTGCATGAACAGACGCTCAAAAAAACAAAAAAAAACTAACAAAAACAAAACTACAGGTGTAAGGAGACAGATTAAAATGGGAGCAAACACACGCACTCTCACGTGGCCGGCAATCAGTCATTGACAGACACGGCATGCTTTCCCAAACATAGAACACATATTAGATCAAAACATCCTATGAAATAAAATAAAAAAACAGTAAGACACACCACTGCATTCTACCCTAAAGAATCAGTCATGACCAAGTCCCTGCATTCAGGACCACACATTGGCTGCTATGGGGAAGGGAATGGACTAATAGGGAACAGAAGAGGTGAGGAATAAAGAGCAGAGTGGAGAAAAGGGTGGAGATAACAGAAAAGGAGAGATTTAAAGGAATCTAGAGGAAGAAAAGAAGCAGCTAAGAGGAAGAGGAAAAAAAGGAAAGAGGAGAGCTAAGAGGATGGAAAGCAGAGGGAGAGGAGGGGAGTCAGCCTTGTAAGTACATCTGCATGCTGACACTGATTCAGTTAGCATGCCAAAGGTGAAACAGATAGGGAGATTCCTGGAAGGGGTCTAAATCAACTGCATGTTGGATATGGGTGTCCTACACCGCATCCCTCTGACTGCCTCTCTGTGAACAACAAGGCATCTACATGGAGGCTGCTTGTTTCCCTTCATTTAAAAAAAATCTGTTTCTTTTATCTTAAAATGCTTTATTTCACAGGACAGTCCCGTCAAAGTTTTTATTAGTCCAATTCATTGACATCTGGATGTATCTGACGCTCTGACTCACTGGTACTGGACCCAACAATTGTGTCACGTATTGTGAAATAACTTCATAATCTGCTTCACGGTTAACAATTAATCATAATTGTCAGTCTGTTACATTTCAAAGGTCAGGTTATCCATGCATGTACAGGAAGGATTATCTAATTCTGCACAAAGATTTTTTTTTATGTATAAAGAGAAGGCTAAGCAAATTATAAACAAATTTAACAAACATCTTTTCGTGGACAGAGGGAGCTTTGCTCAATTTAGAAACTAGTCAATATTTTAAAGAAACTGATGGATAAAGATGCCTTTAGAAGCATCTTTATCCTTGAGCTTTTTCACACAGTCACTTTTCCATGACAAGCTTCAGTGTCTTTTATCTGGATGTATAGTATTAACTGACAGCCAGTAATTGTGAAGAAGAGGGACAATGAGAAGTGGCTTCAAAATGTTTTTAATCAATACAAAAAAAAGAAAAAAAAAAGTTAATTGTTCCTAAATAAACCCGCAGTAACAGTTTCATTTAGAGTTCATATTGTTGGGTGGCAAAGTGGCAAAAGAAAACAGCAACATTGAAAAAGAGCAGTGAGAATCCTATTTGATCAGATTAGGACATCATAGACCCTTTATCACAGTGAAACATGGTGGTGGTAGCACCATGCTGAGGGGATATACAGAGGGATCCTGGAAAAAAACACCTCAGAGGTAAAGGTGCACCGACTGCAAAGTCATCGACCTTTCAAACTGTGATGTGCTGCTTAGATTTATAAAAAGTAGGGATGACGGTAAAGTAATTGAAAATGTATTTTACATTTATTTTCCCACAGACTTTCAACAATGTGAAGGAAAGCTTCATAATTGTATGATTTGTATTCATTTCTGCATCTTAAAAAGAAGAAAATTGCTTACTGACAGACTGACTTTGATTACATTACATTTTATCTATGGGGAAATATCTTTAAAAGGGACTCATAACTTATATTCTCAAGTGTTTCAAAAATGAAAATCATTTTCTAAATCCGAGTTGAAACCTATTTTATTGAAAAAACACCGGTGATATGACAGGAACTTGTTTAATCTCTATATGAGTGGGTTTAGATTAAATTAGTTTCATGTAATTATCAGCTGATCCCTGATCATCTCTAATTAGAATGGCCTTGTCAAAGTTACACATTTTATCAGATATTTTACCTCAAATCAAACAGAGCTTGAAATATTTGGCCAAGAATATTATCGGAAAAGTACTTTTGGCAGGATTATACCTCGGAAACATGTTGGGTTATCAACTGTACAAACATCTGACACCCAAAGATCAGCGTCCCTCCAGTTCACAACAGTGAACAATAAAACACATTGAAGTTTGTAGTTATGAGATGCGCACTCGGCACTAAAAGGCATCTTTAAATGTACTCTTGTGAAATGATCAAGTTATGCTGCAAGATCCGAGTCCATTACTATAACGGCGCCCCTGCTTCCTGGATTTCAATTCATAAATGATTTATCACTTGGAGGATTCGTTTTGTTCTTTGGGAATTTCAGCCCAATTTTTTTTCTTCCCCCTTCCGTAACTCCACCCATGTCAGAATCCAGTGAGTTAGTAAAAGAAGACAGAGAAGGCAATCCAATCTCAGATGGTCAATAATGTCTAGCAGCACGCAGTCATTGGAGACGAGGAGGATGCACACTGGCCGTCACACAGAGTGTGTAAACCCTACCTGGGGCAATCTGCCACTAATGTCCTGAAACACTAGTCTACAGAGAGAACAGAAACAGCTATTGTCAACCTGGTCTCTCTCACACAATGTCACATGATCACATTGGTAAAAACATAGTCCACAAATGCACAGAAACAAACCCCAGAAGAGTTTACTTGTTAAAGGGCCTGATTTGAACTGTCTGCTGCACTGAGAAGGATAAACCTGTGCATCACCAGGTGCATCATTAAACCAAAAGTGCTTTAAGGGGGAAAACTAAAACAAAAAACTTGATGTGAAACAGAATTATAATTTCAGATTTAGGCGTCATGACAAACTGTCAAAAGTACACGCCTCTATGGGTTTGATCCGCGCCGACTCACACTTGAAAACCCACAGGCAGGCAAAGGAAAATGTAGGTGACGAGTGAAGCAGTGGAGGAGAGGCAGGCATACTTACATAGAGGTCAGCTGCACCGTAAAAACCATCCTGATAGGCCATCACACTGAGAGGGAGACAGACGACAGCAGGGGGAGAGGACAGGAAGGTAGGGAGAACACAGGGGTGGCGTTTGGAAAAACCAAAAACAAAGGGAGGGAAAAATAAAGAAGTAATGGAGTGAAGCGCCCCCGTGTGGACAGAGCAGAAAATAACAAACAGAAGAGTTGATGGGGAGGTGAGAAAACGGTGCCAAAGAAATGGTGAGAGAGAGAAAAGAGAAAAGAAGGGTGAGATTATTACACACCGTGCAACATGCAAGACTAAATACCACCTCTTTGTATACAGATGCACTGACTTAAAGGTGCTACTACTGATGCTTTACCAAAAACAACCAATCCTCACTTTGATTTTATTGCATCACATCATTGCATGTGAAGGTACAAGGAAATGGTATTTTAGCTGCGCTCAAACATTTATGTCATTATTCAATACAATTTTATTCAAACACACAGCATGCACAATTTGAATCACTATCTCAATAAGTGAAGCCATGCTTTTAAAGACAATCTACAGTATTAGGACTGTTTCTCATTATTTATGTAACACTAATTGTGCTTTTCAGTAGACTGGATATAAAAATGTACCCAGGGTATGCAGAGATGGCGGGCTGCGGGACAGCAGCCCTGACTGCGCTGTAGACGGGCCGAGCTCGACCCCGCAGATGTGTTCCTCGAAATGTTGCTGCGGTGGAAGCGGCGGCTGCTGCTGCGGCTGCCGCCGGGTACGGGAACCCTGGAACTGATGAGAGATGATCAAGGTTGAAAAAAGAAAAACACACAGCTTTCATTTTATTTACAACAATAGACTTATCCACAGAGAGAAGTATCTTGATTATTATTTGCTTTTAGAATTCAATTCCTTACAGAATGGAAGCTAATAGTTTTCAGTCTCTGCAGATCTATTTAGCAACGCCAAATTATTTTACAAAGACATTCCGTGTTTTAGAGTCAGCTTGGGGTTAATAAAAGTACATTTAGTTAAATATCTGCTAGAGTGTGGAAAAATACAGTTTTTGATCAGCGGTAGAGAAAGAATAGATGTAATCTCATGGATTAAGGGACAGAAAACAATAAAGGATACCTTAAATAAAACTTAAAAACCATTTAGATGCCTGTTTTTTTAAAATGACTATTTTTTCCCAAGCAAAACTTTACTTAAAACTTGGAGAAACTTTTGATAAAAAGTAGTGTTGCACCGATACCAGTATCAGGCGGGGCCCAGATCCAGCACATTTTATAAAATGGTGGTATCGGTATTGGCGAGTACCAACAAATAGGGCACCGATGCCATTTAAAGACAACTATTTACTTTATTCAACTATTGTCACCCATTCCAGGTAGGCAATAAAAAGTTCTACTGGGTTCACTTTGTATTAGTCTTTTTCCTGCTTCACAAAGGTAGGCAGCTTGACAAAGCCATGATGGCAATTATTTTACATCAAGTAGTATGCAGTTCTTCATATATATATATCGGGGCCAGAAAAATGGCATCGGAGCAAGTAGAGCTAATGGGCGTTTTCTTAGATCAGTTACCTGGTTTGCAAATATCCCAATACTTTTGAGCCTCACTACACAAAACTTTCATTACTTTTTGTTTTTTGGGTTTTTTTTTTGCTGCTGCTTGAAAGATCAAGTTTTCTCCATGAGTTCACTGTAATTATAGCCTAGTTTAGAAGTACATTGTCGCCCTCTACAATATTTTATAGTTTTAGTAGTGATCAATATGAGAGCTTTAGATGTGAGTATATTTTTAGAAATTCAGTTATTCCTGGACATTATTTGAGAGGCATACAAAAAGCTACGTTACTAGCAGTTACACTGAATAGTTGTAGTGCTTTGTGAGGGAAACTTAGTTTTTGATATCTTACCTGTATAAAGCTCAGGACTGTACATGGCTCCGACCATAGGACTTAACTTCCAACCAGCTGTAAGAATGAAAGAAGACAAAACAACATTAGTGCAACATTCTTACATAATATCAAGCCATTATACATTTTTTAATTCAGCTTTATAACAAATTTTCTAAAAAGTCCATAAAGATAATTCCCACTTTTTGGCATCATAGCCTACCTTAGAATTACATATTTACAAAAAAAAAAAAAAAAAAAACTGAGCTAAAGATTCTACATTTGTTCAAAATTCTTTAAATACAATCTTTCAATATTGGCCTTTTTTTTTAGGTTTCAACAGGACTTATAATCCACTGCGTTGCAAAGACAGCTCCAGTTAAAGCTGAATTTGAAGCTCTGTAAGGGTTTAAAAGTTTTAAAATAGCGTGACTTCAAGAAAAACATTGGAACAATCTAACATTTACACATGTATATATCTAAACTTATTCAGAGCTAAAAAAGGATAAAACATAATTCTATGTCCCGCCTTTCCCTGACTATGTAGTAAACTCTCTCCCTTCACACCAGTAGTATCTGTTATTATAGGAAAATACTCACAAGGCAGGTCTCTACAGTTAGCAAGTATAATAACATTGATTGCTATGACAGTGAATCAAAGATATGAAGGGGTAGAAAAACTGAAGGAAACATAATCTACCTTATAAAAAGTTACTCTGTAATTTGCAGTAGGACTCGATATTTGTTTTTTCCTGAATATCTTAGAACCATTTGTGGGGCAGCAGACTTAGTGGAGACTTCCAGACTTCCTTCTCTGCCCAGAAACCTCCTCAAGCTCCAATAGGACCAGCAAAGACATTCCATCTCCAGTATGCCCTGGGTCCCCCAGTAAGCATCCTCTTGGTGATATATCTGGATCACCTCTCCAGGCAGACTGATTAACCCCAACCACCAATTGCAGCACATTTTGTTCTATGGTAATTATTAAATGATTTATGTGTCCTACTAGTCAACCAGACTCTTCCTCCAGCTTGATGGCACCCCTTACTGCTGTTTTCCACCAACTGGTTTATCAACACCAGACATCAATGCATCCCCAAGCAGAGGACACGATGTACTAAGACTCTGTACCCCCTGCCTCCAGTGGAATCCAGTAGACGTTCTCAAAGAGGTGGGAGTTGAATTTGTTCCTGTTTGAGGGCTCCGCCATATGATTCCAGCAGACCCTCATGGCGCTGTTGGGCCCGTCTGTCCAGCTTTATTCACTGACAGCAGATTCAAATAACTAGGTAATGATGAGTGGACAGCTTGACTCTCTTTTCCCTCAAGTGAAGAGAGAAGAAGGTAAGAAGACACCAATTGGTAATGAACATGCTGGTTTTTATGGACAGTCCCAGGTTTTAGTGAGGTCCCCCATTTGATGGTAAACAAGTCAGGATACTTGACCAAAGCATATAAACATTCAGTCACCCATTCCCTCACACACTGATGGTGGTGCGCTACATTGTAGGGTGGGGCTACAGACAGAAGCGAGGCTGCTATACACAGGCGCCACCATCAGTAGACGGTAGTCTTGCCTAAGGACACAACAACAATGAAAGCCAGAGCTGGGGTTTGAACCAAGGATACTGGTTGCAGGGCTAACTCCTGCATAGAATTCCAATGTCAACCCATAATCATAACCTGGTGAGTCCCCAAGCAGACTTATGGTGTTGAAAATCAAATTTCAAATTATATAAGTGAACTAAGAGTCCCTTGACGTCATGTGACTTTAAAACAATGCTGCAAACTTATCGTGTCCTCTTGGCCCTCTGATCTCCAGATCTGTGAGGTGAGATACACCAGTCTTCAGCTGAAGTCACGCTATATGGCCCCCCCCTCCAGAGGAGAGTCTGTGTTTGCTGGCGAAGCAGGCTGCTTTCCGCCTACAATTCAGAGAGAACTCAACGTATTGTCTTTTCATCGCGATCCCACCAGCTCTGAAGCAGATGAGATAAACTATCCGAATTTTGGCTTGGTCAACCCTTGTTTGCCGCCCACGGAATACCCCTAGACGACGGTTCCTGGGATTCCACTGTGAAGCCGTTGAACCATGCCTTGCAGGTTCCGCTGATGTTTTGAAGCTGTGCAGCTGCCTGTCTGTGCTGCCACTATGAAGCTGTCAGCTGCCACTCCAAGGAGACGTCTTCTAGGAGCTCCAGGAAGTGCTCAAACAAATTAAGCCCTGAAGACCACCCTCTGTTTTCTTGGAACAAATTAATTTAAGTCTCTCTAGAGAGTCCGCTCGGTCCTGCCTGAGGACCGAGCGGACTGGGTTTCTGAGCTGAACTGAAACCAGACATCGTTCCTTCCTTTCCACTGGACCATCACATGGTAAAACCATTTCCTTCCTTTTGTTTATCTGATACTTACCCAGGTTCTTAATTTCACTGTGTGTGGTTTTGTCTGTTTTCCCTTTGTCTGGAGAGTCAGGGTGCTAAAGTTGGATTGGCTAGCATTGTTAGCTTCAGGCTACCTCATCTTCGGCGACACATGTACGTGGGGCGACCATCATAGGACCAAGTTTTATAGCCCTTTGTATTGTCTCTGCCCCACCTCATGGCCTGGTGTCCTGATCTCATCTGATGCATTTAAGATCACTGTATCAGATGTTCTTTACACTTACCTGCTGCTAAGTTAACGGACACCCTAAATGCATTAAAACACCAAGCTTTAAAACTGTAACATTCGTAAGAGATTAGCCTTTCAATTAACCTGTGCTGATTTTCAGTACTTTGTAGTGTTGCATAGTTATCAAGATACAATAATACTGGAATAGGGATGATTAAGCAATAGAGATACTGATCATTTTAACTGTCGCTGTCTGTGATTATTTATGACAGTGAACAATTTATCGCTCAGAGCCAGATCCATCCCTGTTTGGTTAACACTTGAGGAAACAAGACAGAATTTCCGTTTGTTGGTAAGACAAGGAAAGAGAACTGGATTTTAACTGCCGGTCCATAAGTCCAACCTTAGGAAGAAGACTAAAGCTTCCATAAGTAGGCAGGTTTGAGTTATAATGATTAAACTAATAATCATTAACTGTTTTCTACATTGATTAGAATAACCTATTAATTAACTATAACACCCAATTCTAGCTATTTAACATATTCATAATCTGCTGGTAAAATTGCACAACAATAGAGTCCTCAAGAGAGGCACCAGGGATGCCAAGAAGACCAAGTATTCCCTGCTATTTGGCCCATAAACCAAAACAGCAGTCGGACACCTCAATTGTGCTTGAGGGTGGAATTCAACTGGGGTAGAGCCCCTAAAGAGAGTCCAACCACTCTTAAGGAGCTGGCTTCCAGAGCCCAAGATGTGCATCGAGATCCAGACCCTTTGTAGCCGGTTTCTCTCAACCTTGACCTCCCACACAAGCCGGGGCTCCTTTCCCCCAGCAAGGTAACTACATGAACCTAGAGCCAATTTGGGGATCCTGGTATCAGGTCACTGTGATCTCCACTATCAAATCCTCTTTGCACTGCAAGTGTTGGGCCCACTGAGAGATGGCCTTATGTCACTTGTTTGGGCTTGGTCCTGTGGGATCCACAGAGGGATCCCCAGGCCACCAATCCCTAGAGAACATGCTCCAGAGTGGAGCCTCTGTGTACTGGGCAGCTTTCCTAACCCTAGGCTTTTGAACTCCTCTTTCTCTGTTCAGTCGCCCAGAAACTATTTGCCGAGGAAGACTGAAGCAGGGGAATGTATCCCCGGAGAATCATCCGAGCACTCCATGCAATAATTCCTCTCTTCTGTATTTTGGACAATATTACTAGTAAGATTTCAGTAAGAAATCTAGAAACCTGGTTCTGTGAAGGAGAAAATATTACAAGCTTCTTTTTGTGCAGTAGATTCTATTCTAAAAAAAAAAGCATTTATTATTCAAATGGTTCAACAAAAGAGAGGCTTTACCAATGAAGTGTATCTGAGAAAAATTCATTACCATATGGTAGGGCTGCAAGTCCCTCTCCATTAGAGTACGGTGTGGTCATTTTCTTGTTTGTCATCACTCTGGCTGTGGCATTATTAACCTGAAAGTTTAACAAAAGGTTTAGGAGCCAGTTTACCCTTTACCTTTAGTAGAGACAGAAGCAAAGTTCAGAAAACACACGTTTTAACAGAAATTAATGTTCTTAAGAGTCTCATTACAAAAATTAGCATTCACAGAAAACTTCTGCTTTCATGTGAGGCGCCATTAAATCTTTAGTGCCTGATTTTAATCCTTAAAATGGTGTTAATTTGGTTTATGAGCAGCGATGGTATCGGATGCATGCACTTCTTTTTTAAGAAGAAATAGACTGAAAATAAGGATCCCAATGTTATCAGCCTGTTTTGCACACAAACATTGCAACAATTTGCACATAAAACATAGAAATGAAAACATATTACAGAGCAAAAGGCATTCAAAAAGAAATCCAAGACCATTATATTGCTGGTAAAAAAAGGAGGGAACAAAGAAGGTGAATTAAGCAGCAGATTCATCAGTTACAGTGCAAAAAAATAATGAAATAAATCATTAAAAAACAAACAAAAAAGAAGGACAATCAAATAGTTTATACACAAATAACAGACAGCCAACCAGGAGCGCATCACAATATCAGAAGTGAGAAAACTAACCAATCAGCAAGCATCAGATGCAGCAAATAGACCAATCAAAAACAGAAAAGAAAAAAAGGTTGGATTTTCTCCCAATCAAGAACAAGTCGTACAGAAGGAGGAGGAGGGAGAGCGAACAGAGGAAGAAAAGAGAGAGGGATGCAGGGGGAGATGCCAGTCCACATGACAGAAAAACAGACATGAGGTGGAGAAAAGAGAACATGTCCGTTCCATTCAAATGTGCAGGTCTTCCAACAAACCAACTAAGATGCAATCAACATATAGCGCACATATCTGATTGTTTAACTACAACCAGTCTATATGAACATGAGCCATGATGGGCGAGATGATGATTGGTGCAAAAACAGACATAGAAAAGAGAAAGGACAGGCCAGAGAAAAGACAGAGGATGGGGGATGCAAATATATTATCACAAATTAAAAAGAAAAAAATGAGTTTAACTTAAAAAAAGTAAAAAGAAAAAAGAAAACTGTCAAACCATTGCTGTGGAACACTGCCGGATTTTTCAGATCAGTGTCACACACCAGAAAACACCTTCTAACACACAACCAGCGACACACACCATCCAGAACCAAACTGATCAAAGAGTAAATCAAGGGCACCTCCTCACAGAAATCAGAACAGGGCAAAGCTGTTTGCATTTATAGGTTTGCCTGAAATTGTTTGATTTCATTATTTATTTATTTTTTTGTTTCAGCTTTGCTGTACAAAAATCATCCCCATTTGGGTACAAAAGCTACTCATCCACAGCACGGCTCTGATTGAAACATTAAGGCTGCAAACCTGCAATTCGACAACAGTCTGAGCACTGGTACATGAAGTGATAATCGAGCACTACGGCACGCCATGATTTACAGACGGCTGTTATCCCCTCTCCAGTAGAGCTAACATAGGCACTCATGCTTTGGCATGCTCTCCCGCTAAAAAGGTGCAAGAATGCAGCTATTGGCTGACACATGACACAGAGAGATGACATAGTTCTACATAGTCGTCATACAGATGACCAGAAAGAGAGTAAACCATGCAGGATACAGCTCACGAATCCAATGCTTTGAATGCAGTTAGAGAGGTGATTGTAATGAATGCATTAAGAAGTGGTAGTCGAAGTTGTTGCACTTGCAGATAGATGCGGCACATTCAGTTACACAAGTGGCCTTATTGTAATGCCATGCGGTCAATGGCTAATCTCCTAACAGTTTCATTCACCACCTCCCCAATCAATCACAGGATTAGCCAATCAGGTTCTGTCCACCAATCAATCAGTCAAGCTCCCTGCAGGAAGGGACTCCTTCATTTGGGTGCATTTTATTTCGTTGGGGGGGGCGCATGGGGTGGGGGGGTGGGGAGGGGGTCATTCAAAGATGATGCCATGTGTACACAACTTACCGTGGTCGGGGGAACGGCGTGAGGACACGCGAGCAGTTACCGTGGAGACTGACAACAACAACAACAACATACAAAAATCATCAGGGAAATCGAGAAAATATGTGTAAGAAACAAAATGATGAACCAAAAAAAAAGAGAAGAGAAAACAAAACAAAACAAATAATATAGGAGGGGGGAGGAATGAACAAAACGAGGCAATGAAAGCAACCCCCACCCTGTGGTAGAAAGGCAGTGATGTCAGAGGTCACATGTCAACAGTCCCCTGGAAGTATCAGCCAACAACCTAGCCTCTATAACCCACTAGGAAGGCAGATCGTTAAGGTTAAAGAAATAGAAGGAGATGAAACTCAGGGGACACCGTACAATGATCAAATAAGATATCAGAGATTTAACCTGTTTCTTAAAAGGTGTTTTAGCATCTTACTAAATGTCAAGACAGGAAAATTAACAAAGACGTGGGAGACAAAGGTGGACATAAGGACACGAGCACAGAGACAGACAGCCGGACAGGCTGGACCAAAGAGAGTGGAAAGAGATGGAAGAAAAACAAATTAAAAAAGTAAACAGCTGTCTATGGCCTTAGCTTCACTTCTTTCTCCACCCTCTCCATTTATTTTTAGTCATTCTGCACTAAGACACAGACACAGAAGAATGCAGGACATTCAAAGACCATGCACAAGAGCCTCAGCAGTCAGTAAAATAAAAACATGATCTGATTTAAAATCAACAGCTGGAGCAAATGGCAGAAAGCATGGTGCGTGTTTCCTCTCCGAGGCCATTTGCAACTGAAACCTGAGCTCATGCTGACAAATTAAAAAAAATATCACAACAAAATGCACTATGAGATCTGGTGTTTGTTGTCAAGCAAAGTGTGTGTAAATGGTAAGCTTATTCTTTTTTAATTTTTTTATTTACCCATCCATCTTGCATTTAGTATTTTAGTATTTCTGTAAATAAAATAAAAAAATATCCCCACAATTCTCAGCAGGTTCTTTCCTCATTCCCATCCCTACAAAGAGTCCCCCCACCATGCATGTCTTTTCAACACACCAAACACGTAAACTGCAACCGCATAGAAGTCACATAATTTTAAACGAAAGCTACCTCCAACCTTACAGTACCTCCCAGAAGTGATCACACCCCTATAAACTTTATCACATTTTGTCAAGTTGTGATATCAAGACCTCACTGGTTTAACACGACTGTGAAAAACCAGAAACAAAATGGGGCATAATTGGACAATAAAGCTGTTTTAAAACTAAATTAAAGGAAAATAAAACCAGCAAAGTGTGAGGTGAATCTGTATTTAATCCCTTACTCTAAAACCACCCAAAAATAGTTCAACCAAATCCCTTCAGAAGTCAGCTAAGACTTCCTGCCTGCAGCCGTCAGCATCTACAACAACTCTTTGAAGAACCCCAAATACTATCACATATAAATAAATTTAATTTCCCTTCGGAGTTAATCGATTATTTTTTAATTAAAGCACTAAATGACGTCGCCCTGTGTGAAAATTAATCTCAGTATCAATTCAGCTGTTCTGTTAAAGCTTTAGAGGTTTTTTTCATCTTTTTTTTTTTAAAACATCTCACAAAGTTTAATTCAGTCCGTCATGGCTGCCCATTTAAACTGGACAGGGAGAGTGATAGTAAAAGAAGCAGCCCAGAGACACACAGTGACTTTGGAGGAGCTGCTTAGATCTAGATTTCAAACACTGATGTAGCCTCCAACCGCAGATCTTATTGGAAGAGTAGCAAGAGGGGACAGCTGGAAACCAATAATAATCAACGTAGGAAGTCTTGACTCATCCAGGGACACAGCAAATATGTGGAGGAAGGTGCCCTTAGCTGATGAGAGCAAAAGTGAACTATTTGGCCTGAACGCTATGGTATACAGGATACAAATGCAAACTCAGATTTGTTATCAATATTTCTCATTTGTTTCTCTCTGCTTTGCAAATATATGCTATTTCCCCCTGCTTCATAGTAAAGCTTTAATTGAATGTTTCAGTTTTTGGTTGTAAAGTGAAAAGTTACCAAGAATAAAGTATAAACACTTTAACAAGACACTGTATGTTCCAACCATGCGACACCAGCAGGCACTTTTCTGTTCAAACGCTTCTCTCTTCCAGTCATAAACAAAAAAAAAGAAAAAAGCGGCCACTCATTATGATCATGGAAGAAGTGATGATGTGAATGGAGAAGATGCAGGGAAATGTGGGAAAATAATGAACGAAAACGCAAACCAGATCCTACATGCTGTGACAGAAGCAGCAGAAATCGCCAGCGATCTAGTCGTAGTGACGTCTCACCAGCCATGCCTGTTGTGTAGCCACTCCACCCAGCAAGCTTTGCAAACCACACAGCCCCAAAGATCAAGGTGCAATGGAGAGCCCACAACACCGACATCATCAACGACAAAAAAAACGGCAAGAAGTGCCGCCATGAAAGAGCGTGCGGCACCGCTGCACCATGCTATAGTGAAGCCAGAGGGAGGGGGAGGGGTCACAGAACAGCAACGTGGAAACCTTCTGTGGGGTAGAAACCACCATATTGGTTCTCATTTGCCACTGCTAGGAATGGAGGAAGGACTAAGGACAGAATGGACACTGCTCTAGAGGGCTGGAGACTCACCTCGATTTTACGTCCTTCCACCAACGTGCCATGGAGCTTCTCCCTGGCCCGCTCCGCATCTGCGCTGGACTCAAACGTAACAAAACCGAAGCCCTGTGAGGATCAGAGGTTTAAAAAAATACTGTTTAGATCCCATCAGGTACTAAAAATATAAAATAAATAATTCTGAAGGGTTTCTTTCCACAGTCCTACCTTGGAGCCCCTCTCGTTGAAAATGATCTCAACGTCAAGGATTTTGCCAAATTGCTGCAACCAAAGAGACGATGCAGAGAAATTAGGAGACAGGAGAAGCACCGATGTCACATGCTCACCACAGGGAGTCAGCAGCATTCAACCAGGATGAGCTGGCACCGAGCCAGTACGGGTTCTCCCACAGCGACTCCACCCCGCTCTTTTCTCATCACAACATTTTAGAGACAATTCAAGCAAAGAGACGCTGTGAATTCAAAAAGGCAGAGAGATTAAACAATTTGCCTACTTACGCCAAACATCTGCCGTAGGTCTGGGTCCCGAAAGCGGAAGGGGATGTTAGATACATGGAGACGTTTGGGCGTCCCTTTGGCGTCTGAATCGTCCCCAGGGCCCCCGCCGCCACCCCCTCCACCTGAACCAACTCCAGACTGCCCGTCAATCTGAGCGGAGCCATCAGACTACAGGGTCAGAGCCAAAATAAGACATGAAGCAGGTTATTAAACTGATTGCCGTCAGTTACAGGTAACTGTTGTCACTATAGAAACCTGAATAGACTAACTAATCATTAACAATAGGCGGTAATTATCCAAATAGTCCTCTAAATTATTCTCAAATTTGTTAGCAGAGATGATGCCTTTAAATCTATATCTCTATGTACTTCTATTGTTTGACAGAGCAATTTAGAAAGTGGGATAATATTAGAACTAGAAGCCTCCATTAGATGAAAAGAGGAAACTCAGGGTCCTTGGAGGTGACACGAAGACACCGGAGTGATTCTGGAATATTGCCTCAACCTTCTACCAAATCAAACGATAGCACTGGGCTCTAATCACTGCTGTTTGCACACATTCATACGTTGCACTGCAATGTAAGCGACTTGGGGATAAGAACCTTGTCCAGCGGCACATCAACGCATGGCAACAAAAGGTTGAATTCAAACCCCCAACTTTCAGATCACAAGATAATTAGGGCAGCAAAGAAATGGCCGAACAGCAGCTCAGGGTGAAGATAGTGACCAGGCTCCGCAGATCCATAAACTGATCCCCTTTTGTCCTGTGAAGGTCCCACCGAGAAAGAGAAAGCTCTTTAATCAGATTTTCAGGAAACTGAAAATGTTCAGAACTGGTAGACAGATCCAAGCTTTGCAAAAAAACTAAAATAATAGTGATCAGAGCTCATTATACTGCACTACAAAAAAAAACAACCAAACAAAAAGATGTGTGGCAATGGTACAAACAGTCCCCCGTCAAAGTTCGCAGGGGTAAGAAACAAGGAAAACCTCCGTAAAGTAGAATAATGGTTCACTTTGGAAAATAAGTGAAGTGTACCTGACGAAGCGTTCCTACATTCTCCTGAACAGTGAACGTCTCATACCTAAATCAGGCTGAGCCAACAACAAACCCCTTCAATGTCTACAGTGGTACTGAGGAAGGAAGACTTAAAATCCTTTATTTTCAGGGTTACTGAGGCATGGGATTAGCCTAGTAAACTAGCCCCACCCGCCAGCGGCCAAAATCATTTTTGCCTGTGGGCGGACTAGCCTCCATCAATGCCCCAGGCCCTAGAACTGGCGGGCCAATAACAACGCAGAGGTGTGTTTTGAATTTTTGGATGCAAAGCGGACGGGGTTTTGAGGTCGTGACGACAAAGCTGTGCGACGCTGGCGAAAGCGCAACAAAGAAGATGGCAACAACAATTGAACAGTTCTATTTTGACTCAGCTTTGGAATCAGTTTTGGAAGGATTAGACTTCGAGTTTTCGTTGAAACGTGAGCAGGAAGAGGCTTTACGCTCATTAATTTTTAAGAAGGACCTATTTGCCGTTTTACCGACAGACGTTTCACATGCTGCTTGTTTACACTCCCCCAACAGCTTTCTGTCGCGCTTACTACGCCACAGTCAGTTGCGCTCATTGGTCAGAGCGTTATCCATTAATGAATTCATCTAAAATAGATCTTATCAATCAACAAATTATGAATTATTAAGCTCCCCTTTTAAAAAAAGCCCTCAGTATTCTCTTGAAGCAAGAGGCTCTTTCCATTAACATCAGGGCCAATATTTATATATATCTTACAATACACTGAATTAAAAAAACAAGAGTATATCATTCTAGTTTAACAATTAATTGTGCTACTTGTATTAAATACTGACTGAATCAACAACAAATTGTTTTTCTTACACATTATTATACTGGATACATTAAGATGATATACCAAAACAGGAACCTGGGTTACTGAATAAAAGATGACTAAAATACATCTCTAATGTACAGATATGTCAATCCATATTTTAAAGACAGGGTATGTCGCTCTGACAAGCTGTCAGACTGTTTGCCACTTGATTTTAATGAAGTAGAGGATAATTATGATGTTTTAAGAGTAATCCAGCAATCAATGCTAGGATATTCTTTGTGCTGCTAGCAGCACCTCTAAATGGGCGCTATATAGATGAAATATTAAGGAGTTTATCAAGTGTTAATCCTTAAAGTTTATTCTGCATCCTTGTCGCCGTTAGAGAGTGTAATAGTGTATAAATAAACAGCAGCGCCAGCTAGCGGATGGTGGTAGCATTACAACACTGAAAGAATTTCCTTCAAAGCCGACGTTATCAGTTAAATCAGTTGCCAAAAATTGAATCCAATCAATAATTAATCGACGATTAATCATAAGCTGATTATTTGTTTATATCCCTAGTGCTAACTTTATCTTTCCTTTTTTTAACTAAGTAAAGTCTGAGTTTACAGTTACTCCTCCTTTGAAAACACAGCTTATAACTAAGGAGCAAACATTAGAAATAAGGAATCATCAAGTCAAAGGTTTAGGGAAACTAAATAGAAACAGATCTCGAACATAGGTTTAAAAGATGCTTTAGTCTCTCTGTAGAGGTGATAGACTGATTAAAATCATAGTTGGATTTATCGGACTGATCCACCATTGGTTTCTAAGAGAAATACCCCCGGATACAAGCTGCTTAAGCAAATACAAAAAGAGTAGATCAGGCAGAAGTAGAAAGCAGACTTGTTAGAGTCGCTGCAGCGGAAGTGCAGATTTATTTGGCTGATCTATTATCCGCATTGCAATAATTTAAAATAAGTACACAAAACCCATACCAGAGAGCAAGTTCTTTTAAAAGGAAGAAAAGTAAAAGAGAAATGCCATTATGTAAAGCCAGTTACCTTCAATAGACGTCTACAATTCAGTTGCTTGCAAAAATATTTTAACTCACAACTATGTATGTCTTTTGCAGTCCTTTATTTCCATAAACAAAGAATATCCAGAATATATTTATTTCAAATTAAACTCACTTAATTTACTTTTAATATATATAATTTTAAATGATATATCTACAGCATATCAACATGTTTGCAGTCATGATTGTTCTATTTTATGAACCAGTATTCCCAGCATTAATATAAAAGTACGAGGACCGAATCCTCTTCATCTTTCCAGTTAGACATTAAAGTTACATAAAACCATCTTGTGTAGCTTCACATTAATCCAAACCATTAAGTGATCTCAGTGATAAACGAATCGAAATAAGCCAAAAATTTACTGAAAGATATCATCCAACTGATTTAATCGCATTAAACTTTCGCTTAGTGTTGTAGTTGATTTTAAAACAATCAGCCCTGGAGCAGTGCACTTCAACAATATGTTGATTAACCAGATATTTCAGCTTTGCATGCCTAGATTCCCACTAAAATCATATAAAAAAAAAACAAACAAAAAAACAAACGTTTTGTACATAGTGCTATTGAATCCATCAGAAAATTAGGGTATTAAAAGATTATCCCCATTACCCCCATTTCCCCCCAAACGTGAAAATTTCAAGTTTGTTGCAATTAATTTTTGGTGTTTTTCTTGCTGATCAGAGATGAGAGCCAACATTAAAAAAAAGGAAACTGGATGATTCAGATCTCTGACCAATTGCTGCATTTCCAACCTATAATTTCATGATTCTGCACATATAATATAAGCTTATTGGAATATTTGCTCTGATTAACCTGCGATAAAAACCTGACGTCATGCCTGGCGCTCACCTGGCCGCTGAGGCTGTTGGCGGCGTTGGTTGCACTGTTCCCTGCTCCAACGGCTTCCACTGGGCCCTGCACGGCACCTGCTGCATACAGGCTGCCCCCGTAATCCAAAGCCAGGCCGTTCTGAGGAGGCGGGGGAGGCGGGAAAGCGGAGAAGGGTGGGGGTACGAGTCCCTCCTGACCGCCAGCACTATCCTGAGAGCCCTGCGGATAGACAGAGAGCAGAGTGAGGAGGCAGCAGGAACTAAGGTGAAATTCCCTGCACCTCCCCAAACACTCAGAACATTTCCCCAAAGCCTTGGCCTAAAAGTGAAGCAGACATGGCGGATACTCAATTTTAATTTCCCCACCTCCTCTGTGAGAATGTGCGTGTATCTACAGCCCCCCTCTCATTAAATATTCACTGCAGCCACATTTATTATTGAGGGTCAGATGCCTCCATGCTCGGTGTGTTGCACAACGATGAGAGTCTGACGCCTGCGCACACACACACACACACACACACACAAACGCCTCTGCACACTAATCACCTTTGACACTTAACACCCACACACCTAAGCTCTCCCACAAAGACCAACTGGTATTATGCTACACTGCCCAAGTATTTCACACACAATCACTCCATAAGATACTAGCTTACCATCAGACAGCGGAAAACAATGCAGGCATCTGCAAATACACATTGAACGCACACACATTCCAGGCTGCTGGCCGTGTGGCATGAATTACCCTAGATGGTAATAGTTAGTGAGCAAGGGGAGGCAGCATGGGAAGGGGGGTAAAAAGGTGGTGACTGATAGAAGAGGCCTGCTTTGCCTCTGATCCATAGCTGCAGAGATAAACCATCCATCATTGTCTCCCAGATCTATTTATAACTCTTGAGAATTCATGGGATGGTCAATCAATTAGAGGCTGCAACAAACTGGGACAATCCCTTGTTTTAAGTTTATTGATCTACCTGATATAATTACATCAAGACTGCGGCCATGCCAAGCTGCACCAAGATGCAGGCAGGCTCTAAGCTAAGTGCTGATGTCAGCAAGCAAACATGCTGAAGCGGCTTTTGGTAACTCTGCATGTTGGTGGTGATGTCAGCAAACCAGGCCTTTGGCTCGCTTCTTATAAACGAGAATCGCTCCTATGCACATACCATGGCAAAAAAAAAAAAATTTATTCAATTACTACGATGCACCAAGAAGTCGCCTGTGGACTAGAAGACTTTAGGATCAACCAGTGGCCATGAAGACAAAGAAAATTCCAATCCACTGATTAGTGACGATATAATAAACTGAACGAAGAGAGGCTCTGGTAGAGGTGGTTCTAATAAAGAACCTAAGTTTTCCTACTGGGGCATTTCAGTGGTTCATTCGTGCTGCTACAGAGATCTAAGCCCACGCAGACGGTGGTCATTTCGTCCCTAATGAAGATCCGTTGGAGACATTAAGTTAGCGTCACAAACGGTCAAGGATGCCATCAGTAGATACATGTAAGGCTAATTTAGAGTGGGTAAAAGTAGCTGTTATATCCTTTTAAAATGTTCATGCCGGTCTGCCATTAGAAATGCCGGATTTGAAACCTTGGCAGCGGATTCAAAGTTTTTTTTGGAAACCAGTTGGATTCTCAGACAGAGATCAGAAACTTGTGATATGCAACATCTAGTGCATAGCGTCTGCACCACCAATAACCCTGTTATAGAACTCGAATTTAGATTTATCAGCAGCTAATACATGCATTTAGACAAAAATATGAGCAGTTTCGTTAAAATAAAGGCAATCCTTTTTTCATTATTCATAAGTCTTTTCATCACAGTTCATGTTCACAGCAAATGTTTAAGTGTTTTTAGTTTTTCTGAAACAAAATAAATATTTCTTTTAAATATTTCTGGGTTTAATCACCAAGATTGCATGTGTAGGACAGCCTAAAATATCAACTATGTATTATGGTATTATAACAGACGCCTCCACCCTCACACGGTGAGACTGTAACTTTGTAATATAAAATCAAAAAGTTTGATTGTTGAAGACAGAAAGAGAGATTTATTTAATGCTTATAACACAGCAAAATCCTTCATCCTCTTTACTGTCGCCAGGTTACAGCCATGTCCCGAATTCCTCGTTTTCCCGCCACTTCTGTTGAAATTTGCATTTTCTAAATTTCTAGATTTTTCTCCGCCTCAAGCTTCTTTTCCGAACATACGACTTTACGATCGACTGCAAGCAGTTCTGCACAAATATATCGCAATATAATATATCTGAAAAAATTGTCTTTAGAAATCTTTTTTCTTTAAATAAAGAATTTTATATGCCAAGATAATCACATTTAATGAACCTTAATGCCAATTAAGGCCTTAATTTAAAAAAAATTATAATTGAATGATTTTTAATTAAAACTGGCAAAAAGCATGAAAGCCAAAGCTTTGATAAAAATAAGAGATTATGCAGTATAAGGACAAAAGCTTGCTTCAACATCCAGATCTTCTCCGGTGTGGGTTCTGTACTGTTCGATAACCCACTCCACTCTGTGCTCTTGAACTGATCGGCAGTAGAGATCCCTTCCAAGGCAGGAAAGCTAGAGTTTTCTAAAATATCCACACAAGGTTAGGAAAATCCATTACCTGCATGTCATGTCTAAACAAGATCGGGAAAATTACTTTTCAAGCATTTTATGCAATCAAATAGAGAGCATTAACATAAGTTAACGGCATGTTCAGAAGATGTTGTTACAATGCAACCTTTAGCATTGATACTGAATGTAACCCTGGTTTAATATAGTCCAATAAGAGATTTATTTATTTGCAAAGCAAGGCTACTCTGGCTCAGCTTCTCCATGTGGTACGTCTGATTTGTCACAACACTTTTGTAAAATGAAAAACGAGGAGGTTTTTCAAGCTATCAAACCAAAATGCGTCATATGCTTTATTTAATATCAAACCAAAGATAAAAAAAAACCCAGTAAGAAGTGAAACTTGTTTATATTTGAGTTTATATTTGAGTTTATATTTGATCCAGCAAGCCTTTATTCTCCCATTTAACAGAGATTGTTTTATTTATAACTCAATTGCTATTCCTTCTTATCTATGTATTCATTATTTTCAGCATGCTTTCCTCAGCCGCTATTAATCTTTAATGATAGTTGTAATGAAGTTGCACAAAAAGAACACTCTGGTAATGTTTTACTAGACATCTGGCTGTGTGTGTGCGTTTGTGTGTCCATGCGTGAGTGACAGCGATGCCCATCCGAGCTGCACAATGGATCCCTGTCCCTTTGGGAGAGTTAAAAGTGTGTGGGAGGGTGTTTATGTCGGTGTGTGTGTGCGTGTAAGCCATCTGTCTCCCAGCTTTTGACCTTTCTTACCGTCGCACCTGTGACGCTGTAGTCCAGCCCCTTGACTCAGTGACAAACCAGGGGATGCACCAAGTCGACACGGATCACATCAATATTGTGACACAGGTGCAGCAGACTGCGAGGGGAAAACATGGGTCTGTTCGCTGGCAGAGGTAAACCAAAGTAAATAAATACAGCCGTAACCCTGGAATGTAATGCACTTGATTCTGTGATCCTACCGGTTCGTGGTCATTCATCAAAACTAATAGGCTGCCTATTAAAAAAATTCAAGGGGCCACCGGAACCTCTTGAGGAGCTTAAAAAAGGTAGAATCTGGAGCCGACACAACTATCAACTATTAATTTTTGGGTGTATTTAAACCAGTAAACTCTGGTCTGGTCCAAACAACCAAACCCCTAAGTATACATATCTTTGGACTTAGGACTAAGGCTAAGAAAGTAGAGCACATCAGCCCAGTTCTAAAGTCCTTCCACTGGCTCCCTGTATCTCAGAGAATAGACTTTAAAATACTTCTGTTAGTCTATAAATCTCTGAATGGCTTAGCACCTAAATACATCACAGACTTGCTATCAGTGTATCAACCCTCCAGACCACTCAGGTCTTCTGGCTCCAGCCTGCTCTGCATACCTAGAACCAGAACTAAACATGGAGAAGCAGCATTTAGTTCCTATGCTCCACTTATCTGGAACAAACATCCAGAAAACTGTAAAAGAGCGGAAAGCCTGAGTTCCTTTAAATCAAGACTAAAAACACATTTGTTTAGGATTGTCTTCGACTGTTCTACTTAAACAGTTCAACTGAAACATCATTAGTTCAACTTTTTTACTTTCTTTATTCCAACTGTTTTTAATTTTCTTTTGTTTCTAAATGTTTTCTTTTATTAATATTTTTTCCTAATTGCTTTGATTCTGGTTTTTTTCCTTATATTTCAATCATGCAAAGCACTTTGCATTGTCTTTGTACTGAATTGTGCTATACAAATACATTTGCCTTGCCTTTTGCTTTGCCTTGCATTGCCTAAGCAAGTCAGCATAGTTTGAAAAATGTAGTATCAAAAACTAGGGATGTCCCGATCAGCATTTAAGGCCTCTGATCCCGAGCTGATAAGATCGGATCTTATTTTGAGTCTTGATATGATATTTTGCCTAATTTATGGCAGTTGTAGTAAAGTTTGGCACGACTTGTCAATTAATGTAGTCCTTAGTCATAAACTAAGGACTGTGAATATCTTTTCAAATAAATTACAAAAACAGAGCAATAGTTCATCTTATTCAATAACCTTTTACACTGGTGTGAAGGAAACCACCAGATCAGGCATATTAAAGAAGACTGAAAAAAATTGACCCGCACTTGTCGGTTTACATGGGCGTGGTGTTTATATAAAATCCACAGGTTTAGTTAAAAGATCCGACTTCTCTTCTTCCAGGCAGTGATGGAAACCTGGCTGGGAAACTAAAAAACATTACTGTTAACATGCCATTAAAAATGGAACTACATTTATGGGTGGTAAAGTTCATTGGTGCATCTATCCACTTTTAGAGAAACTGGTGGTAAAAAAAAAATGTATAAAGGATTTTTGTGTTTCCATTACAGCAAGAAACACAAGTAAAAAACTGGAAATTAAATAATTTGAAAGCTGATTTTGTCACCTGCTCATTAAAGCTATTAAACATCATGGGATAGTTATCTACACTGTATCCCACTGCTCTGATTGGCATTTTAAAAATACAGTTTGATCTGGACAGTTTTAGTATGCTTACAAATCCTAAATAGTTTTTCACGTTGTATATATTTGTGATGTTTTAAATCCCTTGAGCAATTTAACTTTTAATGGTTGCAATTCTCATTTGCGCTTTGCC